ACCGTGTGGGAAATGGAGAGGTTGGTCCTGTCAGGTTGTTGCCTGAGCAGACTGTCAAAGTCATTTGGCAGAATGCCTCATCACCAGAACTTTCCAACAAGCATCAAGACATCTCTTGGCTAGTGGTGAGAAGGGCACTGCCTGTGAGATCCTTCATAAATGCCTGGTGAGTCTGTGCCAATGCACGCTGCCCTCGAAGTAGATGCGGGGCATGTTGAGACTGTCACACATCTCCATCTGGAATGTGACTTTGCAAAGTAAGTCTGGAGAAAGATGCAATGGTTTTTGTCAAGGTTCATCCTGAGCAGCTCCGTGATGCAGGTCTCTGTGCTTTGCGGTCTATTCCCTGGGACAAACACTGAGACAAACATCTACTGCACCTGGAGGACCATCAACTTAGCGAAACATGCTCTTTCGACTGCCCAAAACTTGTTGGTCTTCCAGAGCAGGGAATTGACCCTGACCCAGTGTTACAGACCAGCACCTTCCAAGGTCTAGGATTATGTGCTGAAGGATGCACTAAAACCTGGGCCAGCACAATGGCGAAAGACCACTGTCTGAGATATTTCTGCCAAGGGTCCGTTCAGTTATCTGGTACAAGTAAAAAAATGCCTTTGTTTTGTTGGGTAGAGCCAAACGCCAATATTTGTTTGTTTCTTCTTATGCTACTGTACAGAACCGAACTGCTTCAATGTTTATATAGGAATATAAAGATATTTTTATGAATAAATTATATTTTTGAATTTACAAAATGCAGTGTGCAGACTCCCACCTTCCGAGAGGCTTTCCGGCTTTCACATCTATTCCGAGTCTGCAGGGATTACCCGCCGTCTCTTATGTCTTCCTTTTTCCACTCTCACCTACTCACACACCCTGGCTTCCAGCTCCTCCGGACCCAGGGCGAAACCCCAAAAAGCTCCCTATTTGTGGAGAGAGAGTTAAAGTCCAGTGTGACTTCTTCTGAAGAAACGTTAACACTGTTTCTCTCTCCGCAGATGCTGCCAGAGATTTCTGTTTTTATTTCAAATTTCCAGCATCTGCAGTATTTTGCCTTTACTTGTATGTGTGTGTGAGAGAGAGTGCCCGAGGGATATGCATTTGTACACGCGGATGTGTGTGTAAGTATAAGCACATGTGCATAGGTGCGTGTATGTTAGAAGTCTGTTGTGGGGGACATTGGCTCTCTATAGTGTGGGACAATTGGGGTAACGTGCCTGGAATTTACCTAATGCTATCCTGGCACCTGGTGCCCACCTATCAGCAGCCCATTTGCGCCCTGCCTGTTGCCTTCGCATCACCTCTGAACCAACATCAATCAGCTTTCTCTTCCTCTCTGGCTCCTTTTGTCGTTGTCTTTTTTCTCTCGTCGTCTCTTCCGCCCTCTTTCACGTTTGCCTGCTTTCACTTTCCAAGTCATTTCTCGTTTTTTTTTCCAGTCTGATTTCCCCGGTTCCTGGAGTCGCCTCCAACTGTTTCTGTTGAAAAGCCAGTGTTCTGTTTCTATTCTGGCGTCCTTTTACTTTTACTCATTTTTTAATTTAAAAAAAATAGATGAGTTTCCATCTCGTTATCGACCTGCCTTCCCTATATTTTGCAGTGTTAATACATTGTTTTAAATCTAAATGACCTGACCCAGTAATGCCTTTCCTCTTTGCCCTATTCTCCTTTTCCTTTCAATTTCGCAGGCGCCAGGAACATCGAGATTAACAAAATATCGAAACCATCGAGGACGCGGAATTGAGCTACCAATTTATTCGCCAACGACGTTAGTTGGGTTGGGAGGAACGGAAGATTATATAATAATGACTGATTAGCGAGGATTACTATTATATAACTCGCCGAACGGAACATTCCCTTTATTTGGTGTAATCTTTCCCAATCTGGTATCACGGTCTTGGAAGAATTAGCCACCACATGACAGGGGTTTTCTGTCTGTCATTTCATCCCCATCTCTCTCTTTCTCCATTTTAGCAACTCGTGTGTTTTCCTCCACTCTGTGTGTTCCTTTCATCTGTTGAGTCCATCTTTGTTTAACTCTCTCTATAACTCGTTCAATTTCGTTTCCATCTCTGCCTCGATTGCGACAGAAATCTCAACAGACCCCCACCCGCCCACGCCCCCACAAACCCTCGTCCGTATCCCCGCTACTGAAACCCCACTATCCTTCTCTGCCCACTACCACCCCATTCGTTCTACCCCAACCTCCCTCAACCCCCGTTCAATTCTTCAAAATAGGAAACCACTCAGTAAATGTTGTAATTGTTTCTCCTTTTTTTATAAATTCTAGGGCATGAATGACAGAAGGAACGAAAGCACTTAACAAAGCAATTGCAATATCGGGGAAATAATGGGATTGTCAAAACCGCAGTAATGCACCCAACCAAATGATAACAAATTACTACATGTTAATCTGATATACTTATAACATTTAGAACGAGGAGTTTATCCCATATATTAAAAAAAATCGCCCCTGTGGAACTGATGTCAAGATTAACGTTCTTTCATTACCAGGAAAAGAAAGAGAGAGAGAAGGGAAAGCAGGAAAAGGAACCTTCCATCAAAAAATATTCAGTCTTTGGAACAATGTATTTTATAACACGTATTAATTTTGTTCTTGTGGGGACACCGGAGGAAGTCAAAAATTAAATGGCACTGAGGTTTAACGATGACTGGGAATGAAATAAAACCATTTTCGATCCTTTCCCATCTCGAATTCGAACGTCTTTATTTGCAGAAATGATTAATAAAAGACAGCATATACACAAGTGCAGCAATCGTGTGCAATTTAATTTAGCAAATAATGGAAAATCAACAAGCGTTAAGGTAGTTTCAGAGATAGTAGGAACTGCAGATGCTGGAGAATCTGAACAAGGTGTAGAGCACAGCAGGCCAAGCAGCATCAGAGGAGCAGGAAGGCTTATCCTTAGAAGAGGCTTCGCAGTGGGGTTAAAATTAAGGTACACTGAAATGTTTATTAACAGAGTGACGGAGCTAGGATTACATTGATTAATGTTTACGATTAACTAAGTGTGTTAATATAGACAAGTGTATTCATATCGATTGATCCAGATATTAATGTAATTATTAAAGATTAACTGTGTTCGTGTAACTAATTATTTGGTCGCCATTCACTGATTTCTGCGTTTGGTAGTGTGATAATTTGGCCGTTCAGAATTGATAACAAATGTCATTTAGGCTCCGAACAGGGATTTAGCTCATAAACAGTACTTTCTCGATCCAAAAAAAAGCTGAACGAAAATTCACCGCCGCTCCTAGAAAAATTCGTACGTATGTCTGTTTTATATATATTTTATTTTTAAGAAAGGACAAATCCAATCACTCGCCTTTTGGTCAAACCACCGACTATTAGTAATCTCTCTGAACCAGAGAGAGACAGAAATTGCTGATATCGTTGCGACCGATGTAACCCGGTGCCGTTTCCCCGCGGAATGTGACTCAATGCGGAGAAGGTCGAAGAAAATATCTCCTCAACAAAATCATATGGATAGATTTGCTAATGAATTCAAATAGATCTACTGGAAGGGAGCCCAGAAAAACTCCAGCTCAATTTAAGACCAAATTTTGCGCAGAGACAAATTGTTTATGTTAGGGCGCAGTTTATCTGCCACAGAGACCTCTCGAGTACAGGGTACAATAGAAATTGTATTTTGTAAAGGTGACGACTAGGCCCTGACACATTGCAATGAATGTGTGTGTGTGTTTGTGTGTATTTCATTGGATCTGGCGTGCGTTGTGATACAGCGAGCGTGCGAGATTCTTTGGAGAATCTCTTGAGTGTGGGAGAGCGAGATGTTCTGGTGTTTACCCTCTGCTAAAGAGCTCTCTTTATCTCTATGTTATACACATGCCTATGTGTGTGTGTGTGTGTGTGTGTGTGTATGCAAATATTTACAGCTTTAATTCCATCTGCAACCGAGTCTTTCCATTTCATTTCCCTCTCTTCATCGAATCACTTCCAATCCATTTGAGAGATTGTTGAGGCGCCACGATATTTGTCCCCTTGTGTGCTCACGTTCCGGATGCATTTTTGTTGGGCGGGGTGGAGAATGGGGGAGCGGTGGCAGGTTAGAAATGATTAAGACGGTTGATAAGACTGCAGAGTTGACAGGACCCATTCGGGTATCGACCCAGAACGAGGAAAAGTGACTGGAGTTGAACTGCTGTAAGGGAGCGTTGGAAAGAAAAATAATATTGTTTATTAAATTTTTTAAAAGTGTGGACAGTGAGTTGTCTAGCGAAGCTGAGGAGTCAAAACAGCGCGTAGGATTAGTATTAAGAATGCCGGATAAACACTTGTGAAGATATCACTATTTTGACAACTGATTAGATGTAAACACATCAATATTCCTGTTGGAGTGTAAAGTAACAATTTTGTGAACAGTGTCTTATTTCTATTCGTTAAAAAAGGGTCATCTGCAAATGTTTGGTTTACAGTTACCTGGGTTGACATAAACAGCCATCACCCATTCTCCCTCTCCAGACCCTGAACAGGATAAACAAGCTTGAAATGTCGATCAAGGTGGTGCAATTTTTTTAAAAAAACGAAATCTCAGTACGAGTTGAACTCAGTCTGGGAACTTGAGAGGGGGAGAAACGGGGGTGGGGTGGGGGGCTGAACTTGTTGCTCGGAGTTATTGATGCTGTTGTCCAAATATGAACTGGTCAAGGCAGGAGTGCGTTCGGATGAATCTATAGGGGAGATTAAACCGAAATGAGCGAGAGTGGGTTTAATTCTTGGAGGGTGGGAGGGAGGGAGTATGAACCGAGGTTCCTAATTGATCCCGTGCTGCTGATTGGACGCCGATGTTGTTTCCCCCGAAGGGTTTGTCCTGTTAAATAAATAGGGAATTTCTAAAGGGATCACGGCATTGCACATTGGACAGTGCACTTGGGACCAGTGGGGAGGAGGGGGGGTGGGGAAGGGGGTAAAAATAGAGGGAGAGTGTTAAACCCCCCGCAAGGCTGAACAATCCGCCAGCATGACAGGTAAAGAGGAAATGGTCTCCGACAATTTTAACAAGTCCAAAACGGTCTCGATTTCTCCAAACCTGACAAGCAACGAGCGGCCGAAAGGCCTCCCCGGCTCCGGGAATCCGTCGCGGTGCACGGGCTTTGGGATCCAGGAGATTCTCGGACTGAATAAAGAGCCGCCCGCCTCCACGCGGATCATCTCCGATTCCCTGCCGGCCGCGGCTCACCTGGTGGCGGCCAGGAGCGTGCTGACTCCCGCTGGGGTGGGGCTGGTCGGCGCCGCCGCTCTACCGGCTTTCTACGGGCAGTCGGCCTTCCTGGATGTGTTGTCCGAACACCCGGGAATCCACGCAGCTCCTCCCGCTCACCTGCAACCTCCACGCCGGGGCGCAATCCACCTGGAGACCTGTCAGGAAGTCAGTTCAGGTGAGAGAGAGAGGCAGAGACAGAGACAATCCTGTTCTACTGGAAGTACAGCTAACCGTGCTGATATCACCCCATTCACTAAAATAGATCCAATTGGAAGCAAACGAAGAATCTCTATGGCACCTAATATTAATTTTAAGAAATTCTCACTTTGAAATATATCGAATATGCAGGGACTCTAGAGCAATTTAAACAATTCAGAGTAAAAACAATTCACTCTTTAAGGTTCCTACACAGCCTTTTAAGCTGGAAACACCGAGCGATCTTAATGTTTAAATTCTATTTTAAACCCTATTGCAGGCGCTTTCTTTTCTAAAAGGAAGCAATCTGTTTCTATTCCAGTGAGTGCTTCCTTTACAACAACAACCAATCTGATAATAGATACATTGTAGAGTTGGTGAACGGAATAGTATTTAAACTATTGTCTGGGATACTGACACCGCAATAAGCCAGACTAAATATAGAATCACAAATGTCAATAAGTGCTCGTTCGCTTTTAGCCTGGTGATGCCAACGTAAGTTGTAGATTCGATTTTATCAAATATTATGCCTCACTCTCACACGGCTCCGATGTGTCAATCCTTTAGTGTCGTTTATGCTACACTTGTGTCCAGTTCTGATGTTAGTACAAATGAAAAAAAAATTAAGATTTCATGTAATCAGGAAAGATTTACCTATAGATTTTTTTAAAAGAAAATGTAAATTCGATGTTTATGTAAATTTGAACTCGGAATAACTAGTTTTAAATTTTTTTTTAGGGAAAATGTAAATTCGAATATTAATTAAATTTGAGTTCGGAATATCTGGTTTTAAATCAGTCAACTTTCATTCCAAACCAAAGGCAAGACTTTGAATTTTTTTTAGTTTTTAGACCTGTATTTTAGACCCCTGGCAGTATCAAAGCGTATAAATATATCTGGCCAAATGTGAGAGTTTTTCTGCCCATTCGTTACGCTCTGGTTTAATAAGGCTGGAATGTGAAAAGGAAACATCGATGTGAAGCTTTGTGCAGGGTAATGTCCAAGCTCTGGTCTGGGGACGGACAGGGACGACGCCGCATGGCTGGGGTTGAGCGGGCTTCCAAAGCCTTGTGTCGTTATTGAAGAGTAAACATTTATTTAATAGTCGATGATTCTGTTTAATATAAATTCATCTCTCTATGTAAAATGCATCGGTATATATATGTGTATAACACCACGGCACATGTGTATCAAATGTTATTTAACTAATTCACAGAGCGGTCAGTGGACATTAGGCACATCAAATAAGGAAGTTCTTTTTTTCTTAAGTTAATTGTTAGACATACATTATATCAAACGCACCTTTCTTAAATCTCCGGACAGTTAATATAAATTGCACTAAGTGTATTGGATAGATGTTGTCAATGACCTTATTGTCTCAGTCCATAGAGGTTTGGATGTGCCCTGGATTTAATGCGGTTAGAGATGTTTAATGTTGGCGTTTTCAGAGCGTGGATATATGTTAGCTCCGGGTCTAATTAATAGCGCGGAGCTCGGTGCTGCTGTAACGATTTAATTAAAAGTTGGACAATATTGGAGCTTTGATTTGAAGTTAGAGTGTGTTGATGTAGTAGCCCCTGGTGTTACTGGCTGTGTTCTGTATGGTAGGTATCTAGACATTCCAGATTTGTGAACAATGCGTTGATTGGTGCGGCAGAACTCCGTCCCACTGTTTAATGTACTGTACACCATGGATTTCCCTCAGTATGTGACAGGTAGAAAGCGTCAGCGAACATACACATACATTTATAAAGCATGCATTGCATTTTCGGTCCTCTCCCTCCGTCATATTCTCGATTGATTTCCGATTATGACTGCAGATAAGATTCTTCCTTGTCCAGGAGTTAAATATTTCAGGAATCGCTGAGCGATACAGCTCGGTTATATATAATGCTCTTGTAAAGGATATTATAGGATATAGCATCGAAGATGTCAGAGAGGGTCTAATGTGCTCGGGATGCTCTTCATATTAGTGTACAGGATTGTACAGCGTTTGTAGATACCCAGTGCACTATATAGGGAAAACAAAAACAGAGATTGCTGGAGAAACAGATCTGTGAAGAGAGAAAAATAGAGTTGACCTCTCGAATTCAGTGGATCTTCACTGTATAGGGTGCTGGCTTTATGAACTTGTATAGAAATCTCTGAGATGGTATAGAACGATACTATACCTATACCATAGGACTATCGAATTACATAGGAAGCTGGACATATAAACTGGCTATGCAATATGGCAGCGATGTATATAAATTGCATTAAAAACAGAATACACAGGACGAAGTATGAGCTGCTTAGCTTCAAAATGAACCACACACATTGAGTGATTTGCTGATAACAGTGCAGATAAGCCTGGACGTGTGACAGGATGTCATGATTAGATTGGACTGTACTTGATGTCAGGTTTGCGGTGAAATTACGATGCTGGACATTCGCGTTATACGTGATCCAGTAAACATGGAAAATGCACAGAATCGGTGGTCCGCGTTATTTGTAGGATGATCAATAAGATAGTGGATGATTGTATGCAACGCTAACATATACCACATAAACTACATTAGATACAAAATTGTCCCGTGTTCGAAGCATTGGATTGTGTAGGCTGTATGATATACCTATAGAATGCTGCTAGATAGTGAGTGGAAGATGAAAGTCTAAGACAGGGTATTTAGCAAAGTTATGTAGGGTGCTGGGTGTACATGTTTATACCGGGACTGGGACATAACTCTGGATATAACCCAAGGAGTCTAGGAATGTAAATTTTGCAATTGTATGTTATTTTGGCTGTCTGCTAACGCCGTATAGATGGGATCATATAAGAAATAAAATTGTAGATATAGGGTGTACAGGCTTAACGATAGTTTAGGCAGTAGGATGAACTTTTAAGTGTCTATAGGTCTGAGGACCTGCAAAATTAGACAGCACTGTATAGGGGCGTATACAGTATCGCGCAGAATTTTAGGCAGTTCCGGGGCATAGGGAGAAGAGAACCGAGGTTTTTGGGGAATAACAAGGGTAACGGTGTCCGCTAGCATCTGAATGTTGTGATTTTTGCCAGTCAGCTTTGTAATGTTGCCGCCTGAATACCGTGATGACAGCTGTAGGATTCTGCAGAGTTAGGTACCGGATAGCAGGCACATGGGCTGCATGTGGAGCATGTAATTGTCTAGGCTAGATCCTCAAGATTACGAAAATGTTTGACAGGGTAGACCTGGGAAAGATGTTTCCATATGCAGGCGAGATCAGAACCAGGCTGTTTGGATTTTGTGGCGTGGAGCTGATGTTTTGTAGATGATAGAGAGCTAGTGTGGTGTGAGGCGACACGGGGTGGCATAAGCAAGCTTCTGTTTGCATTGTATGGGATGATGAATGTGGAGGGTTCGAGCAGGTGTCGGGTCTACGTGTTTATATAGAATACTGGTTGTTTAGGGTTGGCCAAGTTGTTTAGTGCAGATGGCTGTGACCGAGCGGTTACAATAACGCTCGTTAATGAAACGAAAGATCTCGAAGCACACATTGCCTATCTCTCACACACTCTCGCTGTCTCTCACACATTCTCTCATTCTCTCTCACAATTTCTTTCTCACTCACGCACACACACACATGCACACACTGTCTCTCGACCCCAAACGTTAACTCTGATTTCTCTCCACAGACCTGCTGAGCTTTTCCATCAATTTTTGTTTTAGTTTCTGATTTTCAGCACCTGTAGTTCTTTTGGTTTTTACACACTATCTCTTTCACACGTACGCTATCACTCTCTCTCACACACTTTATCTCTCATTGTCTCTCTCTCTCACACACTTTGTCTCTCTCACACACACTTTCTCACTGTCTCTCACACACACTTTCTCACTGTCTCTCTCACACACTTTCTCTCTCTGTCTCTCTCACACACTTTCTCACTGTCTCTCTCTCTCTCACGCTTTCTCACTGTCTCTCGCACACGCCCACATACTATTGCACTCACCGACTCGTATACTTACGCGCGCACACTCTCTCATTTTCACATACTTAGAGAATTTAGATATGAAATGACGGAGCGTGTAAACCGGAGTCGAGGGGCAGGAGGTGCAGACAGAGGCACAGAGACAGTGGAGGGAACTGGCGAATTTTGTATTCAATGGCATCGAGGCAAGAAACAAGTAATATAAACTGGCATGGACAGAGATAATAAATGAATGGGACTTCGTACTGAAAAGGACACAGATTAGAGAGACTAGAGATAGTAGGAACTGCAGATGCTGGAGAATCCGAGACAACAAGGT